TTTTTTTTTTTTTTACTTTAAAATATAAATTAATTTGTATTTATTTTCCTCCACTCATTCAATCTTTTTTTTTTCCTTTTTCATCAAGCTACTAGACTGAATTGAGTGTTCAATAAAATTTTAACAAAACGGAAATAGAAACTGAACTGATAAGCAATTGGGTGACTTTGACTGACCGGCTGAAATAACTGACTGGACGAGTGTTTGATGCACAAAACTTTCGGTGACCAAACTAACTGCAGGAAATGATTACTCAGATTTATGCAAATGAAAAAAGGGGAAAAAAAACACACTTTAGTTTGGATGTTTTTAGTAAAAAAAAAATGTCTGTTAAAAGGTTTTCTCTTTTCTTTCCACTCCCCCTTCCCTTCCCCGCTAATCTTATTTGTTCCTTCTTATGTTTCAAATAAACAACAATCCTAAACTCTCAGTTTAAATTGAGCCTGTTGAGTAAACCAAAAAAAAAAAAAAATAACTAACAGATAGATAACAGAAACGGACGTGGAGACACACGGTGACAAATCAAACTTTTTTTTTTCTTGACTAATTTAGAATTCACACTAGAAGATAAGAGTTCTTTTCCTTTTTACGTATTCTGAACAGCAACAAGATGTACTGTTTTTTTCAGAAAGTCGGAGTGAATAAATAGGAAGAAAAATGAGAGATATTGAGATAATCAATTAAAAGTTTTTATCCTTATTTTTCCCCAAAGTGAATAGATATATAGATGAAAAAACTTTAATTAATGGTTGCTAAATAAAATTTTTTTCTTGCAACTTTTAAAAATGTCATTTTTCCGCCTTCTCGAGTAGCGCTTGCGGACCAATCTGTTCCTCTGTGGAACAACCATCTTTGCTGATGGTAACCGAGAAGACGAAGAAACAGAAACAGTAACTACTGTCTTTACTGTTACCGTCACCGTATTGCTGTTCCTCTGTGCTTATTACTGTTGTTTTACCGAGCATCAAGTATTCTGGTTTGAAATGCCCAAGTTTAAACTGGCAATCATTCACTTTGACTTTTATTTACTCTTTTTTTTCTCTACTTTTTTATTCTTCTTTCTTCATTCCGTTTTTTAGAAGCAAAGAAATAAACCGGGAAAAAAGTAGGAAAAAAACTGTGCATACCCAGTGATAGAATAGAGATGTTTGTATGATAAAAGCCCAAAAAATAAGACTTTATTAAACTTATATCTCATTTATTACAATGGTCCCTGTTTTACTTAAAATGTCTTCTTCCTCTCTCCACTCCGGTTCCGCTGTACCTTCCTCGTCTCTCTGAAGTTTCATATATAGTTGACGAAGGGATTAATTCATATCAAAGGGAGAAGAAGGAGCATTATTAAAAACAGATGCTGTTTACTTTTTGAATACTTTTTACCGGATGCGTTTGAAGAATTGAACTTTTTTCACATTGTTTGCTAACAGTTTTTCCGTTACATATTCTGCTTCAGATTTTTTTTTGCTTTTTATCATTACCTTCAATAGTTCTTTTGTTGGCTTAAATAAAAGAGAAAAAATATGTCTGTCTTTTTGTTTTGATCGATGATTGGACAACACCGGCAGATATTAGATTGGCTTTTTTTTTTTCTCGGGAAACAACTTCAACTTCTGAGGTTTGTAGTAATTTTAAACCTTCTTTTACTCAGTGAACACAAACTGCGCAATAAACAGCAAGACGCCCAGTGAGAACAGAGGCAGCCAGAGACGTAGAGGCAGAGCTTTAAAGTTGATACATACGTATATAAATGAGTGATTAGGGTTTTGGTCGCTGCGATGACGGCGATTCGTCAACGGCAGTAACAACAACAGCGGCAATAACAACCGCCACTACAAACGACAACGACAACACTGAGACAGAGACCGATAATTGGACGGACACCGGGAGCGTCTTTTTGATCTTCAGATGAGACTTCAGGTCTCCCTCAATTATTATATTTTTGGTTTTTTTTGGATGCTTATCAATTCCCCCTTTTTTTTTTTTCCCCTTCATTTCTGTTACTGTTGCTAATACTGTTATTACCGGTGCTCACGTAATTGAATGTTGATAAGAGTGATGTTTTATTTTGATATCTTTGACACTAAATCATTATTGTTTTTTCTGTTATGTGATTTCATGTTATTCAGTAGTAGTACAAAAAGAGAACAAAGTTTTTTGACATCCACACGGACTAACGGTGACATAGTGAACTCTCCAGTTTGTATCACTTTTGTTGAACTGATTTTTTATTGTATTGGTAGCCAATATATAGTCAAATACGTGGACGAATATATATAGATATCTGATGCTCATATGGTTTTCGCAAAAAATAAACTTACTTTTTTTTTTCTGGGTTTTTGTTATGAAAAATGATGGAAAAGAGGAAGATGAGTTTTTTTCTCGCTTTTCCCTTAATTTTTTAGGAGGGAAAAAGACGATATAATGATAAAAGGAAAGGTAGGGCAAAAACAAGGTTCGCCATATAATTCACGCAACTAAATTTGTTTACTTTTTTTTCAACCGATAACCGCGGTCATTGTTGTTGCTCTTTGGTTTTATGTTTGTAAAATATGATGGTAGTAGAATCAAAAAAAGTCGGCAATGAAAAAGAAGTTCAGAAATATGAAGCATTTCCATAGTTTATTTCCTGAGTTCAGGTAGTCTGTAGCCTCGCGCAGTGGCTGAATATAACTGATTTGGATAGTCGTTAAGCGATTTGAAAAATTATCGACGAATTTTTATTGTCTGTTTCTGTATATAGCTTTGTTGTTGCTATTTCTCGTGCACTTCAGTCTACCCGGTAGCGTTGTCGATATCGTCACTGGTTGACGGCAACAATGATTTTGGACGGGTCGTCGTTGTGTCCGTCTGGTTGCTTGCTGTTCAATGCTACAGGTAGAGCTAACGAATCGTCAGGTCAGTCGGAATCATTTGTTGCTGGTGATGTGAAGGGAGGGATACAGAGTTGGGACGGCGGAAAGTGGGCAAAAGCCGTTGTTTCCACGGCAGTGCTCAAGCTTGTTTTGTTGTTATTTGCCTATTTTTTCAAAAAAATTTTTTTTGTACTATTTTGCTGCTAGTGGTGGTTCTTTTTTTAATTTTTCACTTATTTTTTGTTATTTTGTTGCAGTACTTTTCCCACTACAAATATTTTCGATATGAGATGCTTCTTTATTTTTTAAAATTACATTTGCTTCGTTTTTATTTATTTTGTTT